TTTCTTCTTTTTTTTTCACCCAAAATAAGGGGGGGTGGGACCCCTGGGCTCCTCACCTAGATCCGCCACTGCATGGGGAACAAGTGGTGTAGACTGATGGCAACCTACTGAGCCCAAGTGCTTTTTATTTAGCTCTTACTAACTGAGCAGGAGGTTTGTATGGGAGAATTTTGACTGAGGTCGTGAGTACAGATCGTGCGCAGTGAGGTCTGTACACACAACCGAGGTCAAGATTTTCCCATACAGACCGACCAAGCTCAGTTAGTAAGATTTTTATTATATGGTGCAAACAAGAACAATTTAATTGGTTTAATGTAACTGGTTTGTACTAACTGAAATTTTGCTTGTGAACAGTGATGAGCTGAATTTAATTCTGCCTCTTTACTTTGTTTTTTCTCTTCAGTCTTTCCGGCACTTCCATACATGTAAATAAATATTGTTAGATGAAATGATTTTGCATTTTAGTTTGTAACTTTTTCACTGCAAAACATTACCAGTCTAGATGGGAAAATCTAGACCACTTTTAATATCGATTTCAGCCAATCAAATTCGTGAACTTGGTAGTTCCCAGTCCTTGTGAGACAGAGCCATATAATAAATTGATATAAGAATCAAACTTGTCACAAGTGTTTACCATTTATCAGGAAAGACGAAAAAATTGCTGACAATTTAATTCTTGTTCCTTGTAGGGTTTTAAAATAATAAAAGTGATCACCTTTAAAGTTACCAACCTACAAGTATACATTTTAACATAATTTTTTTTTTTATTGACAGCAAAAATATAGCATTTATAAACTTTATTTACTTTGTGCTTAAACATTGGTATCTCTTTGAGGTGAAAATAAATTTAGACCACACCCATAAAAAAAGAGTCAGGTTCATGTGCTTATTATACAAATTATGTCTTGAAGGTTTCTCTCCAAATGTCTGAAAGTCACTTCTGTCACTTAAATTTGGGTAATTTGAAAGTCCCTTTGCAGATAAGAATCTTTTTCTTGAATAGAAAAATTATAGTTCGTCTGTGGAGGTCATATTTGTTTTGAAGCTTTTGTGTTGTAGCTTTTGTGTTGTAGCGCTTGCTACTTTCTATCTTCTATCTTTTCATGTACTTGCGTGTACTTTCCTAAAGGAAATGAGTGAAAAATGCAAAGTTCTTGACGTGGTATGACATGGTATAGCCACCACTGAGGCTTTTGCACCAAAACGGCTGCAGTTTTATTGAAATTTTCCACAGCTGTATTTCAATAGGACACAAAATAAGGGGTTAGGTGTAATTACGCCAAAACATTTCCTTATTCTATGATTTTAATCAACTCAGAACACTCAAATGTTTAGTTTTTCTGTGAGTGGAAACCAATTTTTACATGTAATGGCCAAGGTACAATCATAAGGAATGGATTGATCCCATTTTGTGTTGCATTCTGCTACAATACAAGTCTCAGTTTTAATTTGGACAAAAAAAATACTGAACCAGTTTTTTTATTAAGTAACTTAATCTTTTTCTTGTTAATGTTTATTGCACTAGGACGATCACAAACTCGTCTGTATTTTTTATGTTTAAAGTTAAGTAGCCTTTAGAGTCACGCTTTGTTTACTTTGACTGTCACCCTGCGTTACTCTGGTTGTCTCTTGGCGTTACCTCGGTTGTCACGCCACGTTATCTTGTTAGTCACGCCGCGTTACTTTGGTAATCGCGTAACGCTGTCCTGTCAACAGAATCTTTTCATTTTCCGTAAGAAAAAGTTGATATTCTTATTGTGTAACTACTTTCTTGTAGAATTTCTTTTATTGATTTTTGTTTTGCTTTATTTTCATGCAGATTGGTGAATGGCTATGATGCTTTACATGTACAGTACGTGCTGCAAGTCAGGATTGACATCCAAGAAAGACAATCATCCAAGATGTAGTTAGAGGTAGAGTAGAAAACTTAACGAGGCTTCACTTCAAGA